TCTTCTTCTTCTTCTTCTTCTTCTTCTTCTTCTTCTTCTTCTTCTTCTTCTTCTTCTTCTTCTTCTTCTTCTTCTTCTTCTTCTTCTTCTTCGCCCAGAGGGTTGGAGGCACACCAGTGTTCTGAACATTCTGGAAGGAGGCACCTACAGGATGAAAAACAACCCCATTTTCGCTCTTCTTTCCCCCTCCTCCCCTTCAACATGGCAATTTTCCTTTCCACTTATTTCTGGAATGTTTTCGCTTAGAGGCATTATCTGTAGAGAGCTGTAACACAGCCAACAAATGACATGAGTCTTTCTCCCCTGCGTTCCTGACCCAGGTCACTGCTTGTACAGGGGCCTGTTTTTTTCTATTGCACAAACAGGTGGTATCTCTGGAGCCTCAGATCATACTCGGTAACATGAGCACACCTTATTGGAATGATCGGTGTTCTTGGCCAGTGTGCTTTTTGATGCGTTAGTGGTTAGCTTTGCAGGAGCTGGCTTTCTGGGTAATGATCGAAGACAAACGTTGCTGAACCTGTTGAATTGCCTTAACGGCATCAGCAGAGCCCTGCTGGGTCAGACCAGTGAGGGTCCATCTAGTCCAGCATCCTGTCTCGTACAGGGGCCAGCCAGTTCCTCTGGAGGTCCAGAGGATGCAAGCCACCTGCAAACCCCATCAGCGTCAGCTTAAGTGATGAAATAAAGTTAGGATATGAATAGAGTCAATAAATACGAGCCCAAAGCCATCCGAGTAAGCTTTGTAATAGAATCAGGAGTTGAATTGCTCATGTCTGAGAAGGGCAGCAGTTTTTTCTCCCCTTATTAAAGTGGTTTACTGGGGTGTGTGTGTGTGTTATGTGTTTACCCCACAGAGAACTTCCTAAAACAATTGCTCACTACTGCATTTGTTTACTTCATTTATACCCTGCTTTTCAGTCTCCAGTGGAGACCCAGAGACCCAGAGCTGCTTACAGCCCCTCTCCTCCGTTTTATTCTCACAGCTGGCCTGCGAGGTAGGTCAGGCTGTGTGTGTAACAAGCCCCGTTGTCACCCAGCAGGCTTCCTGGGGCAGACGGGAGATTCACACCTGGGTCTCCCCGTTCAGCACTCTAACCCCTACACCAAACTGGCTCCCATGGGCAGGTAAAATAATTGCAAATTGACCCTGGGGGGTATGTTTTGCCCACTTATTATTATTCTCTTTCCTGCAAAGAGCTAGACATGTTAATGGGTCATATTATTCTCACTCACCTAATCCACACACCAAACTGAGCGCTTTAATAAAGCGGTAAATGCTTTCCCGGCCGAGGGCTCTTTGCAATGAAACTCGATGAAAGGCATCGGAGCGTTTTGCTCGCACCCTCTTGGGAAATCATCTGTGACCATCTGTGACCGTGGTTTTGTGCTCCATCCTGCCTCTGTAAGACTTGATACAAACTGTCACCAGAAGTTGTTTCGCCCCTCCACGTAACTAATCTTGTGCTCGCACACGGAATGGACGTGTTATTAGCAAGTGTTGAAGGGCTGTGTTCCATTTGGCATTCGTTTTGCTTTTAATAAGAACACTGCCCTCCAGTTCTGTTTGGTGGGGGGGAAAAACCCTATTGTGTTTGACCTTAGGGGGTTCCTTCACTAGCTGCAGAGTTTGGGAGCTGCTTAAACTCTGAAGTGTGGGGCTCTCCGAAACTTCTTGTAGGGCGGGTGTGCTTCTTTTTGAGAAATGTGATGGGAGAGGGACAGCTTTCTCCCCTGAAAAAGTTCAGTTTTAGAACGGTTTCCACACAGATTTCCCCCCCACTGGTTTTGTGTCTCAGCCGGAGTGTGTGTTTTGTTTTGGAGAATCTCCACGGCATCATCCCCTCCCTCCCTTCCTTCCTTCCTTCCTTCCTTCCTTCCTTCCTTCCTTCCTTCCTTCCTTCCTTCCTTCCTTCCTTCCACCCCCCCCCCGCCCCCCCCCCCCCCCAATGGCTGCTATTTCCCCTTCTTGGCTCACCCCAGGAATTTTTTTGAGCTTCAAAAGGAAAAAAAAAGAAGAGACCCATTCGCTTAAAATTGGTAATTGACCGATCATTGTAGCCTAACAGTCGACTGATATGTCAGTTGCTGGTTTTACTACAAAACCTACAAAAGCCCTCCCATGAACTCGGGGCAAGATAAGTGTGGGGGAAACTGCTGCATGGACATTCCATTGCTGCTGCCGTGAATTGTCTCTGCCTTCAGGGAAGCAACAGAAAGCATACAGGAAACCATGGCCTAGGAGGAAGAGTTGCCCTCCTTCAGAGTAGCATGTCCACTGTGTTTATTCACAAATTCCTAGTCTTGGAAGCAGGCAAGCACAGAACAGGGCCGCAATAGGCCACCTCCTCCGCCTCTGGAGAAGTTGAGTGATCCGGTTGCAGCTACAGAACATACCCAGAGCAGAGAGTAGCAAAGCTAGAACAGTTGAATCCTACAGAGGTGCAGTGGGCAGCCTCCTGTGTGATGGTGCTATTTTGAGCTCGTCAAGAGGCGTTATTTCACCCTGGCAGCTCTCCTGCCACGGATGATCATTTTCCAGAGGGTGTTTTGGTAATTGCTGGGATGCCGAGTGGTAGTATGACATTTGTCAGCTGCTAATTTTCATGGGTGTTTGAAGAAGCCACCAAAGGCGTGGTAAGGCTTTGCCTCGGGCCTTTCTCCCCAAATTACCTGTCGGGAAATTGTGGACACGGGGGCTCTTTTGTCCACACGGCTTTGGCCTTTAGCTCCCACAAACTGAGCGGGGAGGGATGGGTGGACTCCCTCGGGAGAGCGGACTTGGTTTGCCTCCTAATTACAAGTTCTCATTCTTTGCTAGTTAGACGAGTGCCCAGGACCCAGGAAGGAAGCAGACACGTAATATTTTAGTCTTACTCCAGGTGGGACTAGACGTTACACGCGAAACTCTGGCCAGCCACTCTGTTTCACTTCTGCCCTGCCCACCAACAGGGCCAAGAAACGTACCACGGGGAAAGAAGACACTTTAAAACGAGGCTGCGATTTTCTGCAGGCCTTCCCCTCCAGGGCGCTGCAGTGTGTTTGTATCCCACTTTTCTGCCCCGTGGGGGACAAAAGCAGCTTGCAACATCATTCTCACCCTCCTCCACTTTATTCTCACCACAACAACCCTGAAAGGCAGGCTCGGCGGAAAGAATGACTGTCCGAAAGGTTACACAACAAGCTTCCATGGCAGAGTGGGGATTCGGACCAGGCCCAGCACTCCAACCCCTGTGCTCCACTGACTGACATTCACCCTTCAGGTACAGAACAGGGTTATGAACATTCAGAATAAATTCATTGAAAAACCCTGTGGGACACTTTCCGCTTCTCTTTAGTGTGGTGTGGTGGTAAGATCTGGGAGGCCATGGTTGAGATCCCCACTGTGCAGCAGTAGCTCGCTGGGTGACCTTGGCCCATCACACACACGCTCGTCCAAACCTAGCTCACAGGAACAAAGGTTGAGTCCAGTGGCCCCTTTATTAAAAATTCTGTGGGACACTTTCCGCTTCTCCTTAGTGTGGTGTGGTGGTATTATCTGGGGGGCCATGGTTGAGATCCCCACCCTGTCGCAGTAGCTCACTGGGTGACCTTGGCCCCTCACACACACCCTCACACGCACGCTCATCCAAACCTAGCTCACAGGAACAAAGTTTGAGTCCAGTGGCCCCTTTAAGACCAACAAAGTTTTATTCACGTGCACACGAAAGCTTATGATGGCTATGCACCTGAATCTACCTCGCAGGGTTGTTACAAGGGTAAAATGGACAAAAGTACCCGTAAGCAGTGTTCCCTCTAAGCTGAGTTAGTGTGAGCTAGCTCACAGTTTCTAAGCCTCCGGCACACACATTTCTGTCTTGGCTCAGGAAGGATGGGCTCCAGAGCAAACTTTTATGCAGCAGCCAAATCGCTCGCTCACAACTTTGATGCCAGCGGCTCACAGAGTAGAATTTTTGCTCACAAGACTCCACAGCTTAGAGGGAGCATCGCTTGTAAGCTGCTCTGCTGGGGAGAAAAGGGGAGCGTGAACTTGACCGCACAGCCCAGAGGCATCCTGCGCTTCTCTGAGAGGTTCATCGCTTGAAAGTAAAGGTGTCTTCTTTTTTTTTTTGCTCCGAATGAAGGAAAATGGCATGTTTTCATTGGCAGCCGGGCTCGGAGCCAAGTAAACATGAGTCAGTCCAAGCTAGGTATGAAATTAAGTTATCCTGCGCTTGCCTGCCGGTGCCAGGGCAGGCCTTTGATCTCCTGCGGCTTTCTCCAAATGGGGCTGGCAGTTTGGCTCTCCATTTGTCCGCTGCTTAGAACGAAGGAGGTTATAATAACCACCTTGTGTGGTGGTGATCTCAAACAGATGACAGTATTTGGGCAATAATATGCGGGGAAAGGTAAACACACTTGAATTAAAACGTCTCTCTGGAAGGACGGAGGGCGGGCGTGGAGGCTGTTGAGAAGGCCTCGCTTTCCTAGGTCTCAGGAATCCAGCTGCGTTTGTGTTAATTCTGGAGTTGTTTAAAGATGTGCTGCAATTGTGAATTTATATTACTGGCAGAGTTTATTTTGTGTGGGTGAGTGGGGTGGGTAGAATAAATGGTTTGAACCCTGTCTCTCTGCATCTGTTCACCCTTCTATCCCATTTTTTTTTAATCTCAACCTTCCTCCAAGGAATGCATGTATGTTTTTTTACTCCTCTGTTTTATGCTCACAACAACCCTGGGAGGTGGAGTAGGCTGAGTGAGTGTGATTGGCCCAGGGTCGCCCAGCAAGCTTCTATGGCAGACTGGGGATTCAGACCTCGGTTTCCCAGATCTTAGTGTGATGCTCTCAACCACAACACCGCACTGACTCCGAGGATTAAATTCTTCTGCTGTTCTCTCTTCTAGGGCGACTGCTTGATCTCTGTATTGCTGACCAAAGACGACAACGTGGAAGGCGATGATGTAGTTTTTTATCTGGTGTTTACTGGGTCTGCCGTCCAACACTGCACAAGTACTAGGAAGGTCACTTCAGGGACATTAGAGACAATTGCTCCTGGTAAGTATGTTTATCCACCCCTTTGAGATTTTGACTGTAAGCCAGGAGGTATGCGTGTTTTTGCTGGCTCACCTGGTTCCTCCCCCAAGACGTGGGTTCTTATCTGTTTTGCCCCCCTGAGGCTTGAAGTCAAGCTGTGCACCTCCACTTCGCAGTACAATAGGAAGAGCTCCCCCCTCACCCTGTCCCAGTCATGCCAAGCGTTGGAGACGTCCTCAAAGCAGCAAGAGGTGCCTCTGCTCCCCACAGCTGAGTGAGGTTGGGCAATCATTTGCCAAACTTTTATGCACACTCGGAACCCCTGCAGTAAACTTTATATAGGAACTTTGCAGACCGATGCATGGCTCGATGTGGCGCCAGATGCTACCATTTCCTTCCTTCATTTTATTCCATGCTGTGGGTTCTGATTTGTTTTATGGCTACCTGAATTTCTGCAGGTGATGATGGATTCAGAATATGTACGAAATGGCTTGGGAAAGGGGAAGCTGACTGGGTTTGCCAACTGACTGCCTGATGCTATCCAGATGGACCACATGCTGTCAGTGTTCAGAGTTCAGCACTGGACTTTGACCATGCCAAATACTTTGATAAGGTCTCTTAAAGCCTTGTAAATCTCCCATAGGAGTCTCCTTGGGCGCTCCAGTCAGGGTCTGCTCAGGGTGCTTTTCTTGGCTGAATTGAGGCTGACATTGGTGAAGAGCAGGAACTTTTTCCACAACCGCATTCCATTTCCCTCTTGAAACCTGTGCCGCTGGCTCTCTTTTGGGCCTTTAGAAAGAAGTTGATAGAGTTGCCAAGAATTCCAGGTTTGGAAATTCCTGGAGATTTGGGGGTGGAGCTTGGCGAGGGCAGGGTTTGGAAGGAGCAATCTCAGTAGGCTGTAACACTATAGAACCCACCCTTCAAAGCAGTATTTCTCCGTCATCTGGAGATCACTTGTAGTCAGGGGTCATTTCCTGCAGGAGCGCACAGGAGCGGAGCTCCGGCAGTAAAGAGCCCAGGGGGCGGGCACATGCAACAAGCCCCACCCCCTGCTCCCAGCAGCCCTCAGTCAGAGCAAGAAGCAGCCAGGTAAGTTGCAGAGGCCCCACCCCCCCACCGCACAAACACCACCACGCACCCTACCTTTAAGACCAGGTTTTCTTCAGGTACAAGCTCTCCCTCCTCTGCGAGGATAGATCTACACATTCCCCCCCCCCAATAGCTAGCCATCCGAAACAGTCCAGTGGTGCCTTCTGACACACTTTTGGTGATGTCAGGGGGTGTGGCATATGCAAATAAGTTATGCTAATGAGTTATGCTAATGAGCTCCTGCACCTCTTTTTCTACAAGATGACCCCTGCTTGTAGTGGCTGGAGGCTGGCGACCCTAGAAATTGAAGGCTTCCCCCACGAGTTCCATGGGGACCAAAGTTTTAGATTCTGGTTTTGTAACTATGTTGAACTTCGTTTCGGCTTCTTAATCGTGTTGTGGTTTTGTGCTACTTAGGTAATTCTGTTAGAAACATGGTTGTGGTCCGCTTTGTGGACTCCAGTTTGGTGGAATGCCCGCTCTTGGGCATGCTTGTCAACGTGTTAAGTCAGGAGGACTAAAGGCCCTCTTGAGGATGGAACCCTTTGCTGGAAAGGAGTGGGGTGGGAGCAAGGGACGGAGCTTTTCTGAGGTGGTCCCCGCCATCACCATCTGCCTGATGCTTTTGTGGTCTAGTTTTAGGGGACTGATAACAATGTTTTAATGATTGGCTTTTCATAATTGGTTTGATATTAGAGTGTGTCTAATTTTTCTCCTGAGTGCTGTGGCTGTCTAGTTACATCAAATTTTATGCTCGATTGGATTTTGTTGCCGGTTTTCTGTTGTTTCCATTGCTTCTGGTTTGGGAGGGTTTGCTGCAATTGCTGGTGTTCCATCTTTGCTTTCTGCTGATCCTTTCCCCCTTTTAAAAATATTGTTTCTGTTGTGATATATTGCATTGGTGTTTTGTTATTTTTTAAACACCACCTCGAGAACCTTATGTTTGTGAGGTGGTGTCAACATGACTTAAATGAATAAATGGAGAAACATTCAGTGTAGGGCTATGTGCATTTTTTTGGTACAGAGAAAATCTGAATTCTGTAACTCTTCCGTACGGATCGCATCCTGAAGAATGTGTGTTAGCATCGTGTTCTTTTGCTTGTCTGGTTTCTGAGATTTAATCATACTGTGGATCCTTAAGGACTTGAAACTTGTCTCTTTAAAACTGAAACAAACAAAAAGTTTGAGATTGTTCTATGGTGGAGTTCTGCAGCCAATATCATGTTCTGGTTTGGATCTACCAGAATGTTGTGACAGTGGAAAGGATTTTTGCCTACAGAGCACAACTTTTTGGCTTCCTCCTACCATTGTAGCCCCAAATGCTCCCCGAAGTGCTGGCCATGGGGGACAGGGAACCCTGGCGGGGCCATTTTAGCTGCAGTAGGTGGACTGCAGAGTATACAGCCCTGAATTCTGCCTACACAGGGGTATGAACACACGCTGTTATTGCTAGGATGGTGGTTGTGAATGCATTGGTTCTAGATAGCAATATTCTAACCTCTTGGGGCTCTGAATTGTTGTGGATGTTGCTGTTCTCAAAACAGACCAGGAGAACACTTTTCTTTCAGCTGTCCGTAGGAGACCCTTCCATAAGAGCAGCTGTGCATCTTGGCTTGTCTGTAACAAGCAGGTGCTGGATGCAGTTCTCTGGTGAAAGGGAACTTGGGTGGAGACGCTGGCAAGGGACTGCCTGATGAGATACATGAATTACTGTCGGTCAGCTCTCCCGGGTGAATTCCCTCCTGTCTACAGTGGTCATGTGTAAGGTTTGTCTGCTTGGGACAAAGCGGTTCTCAGACCATAACATACTGACTTTATTGACTGTGTTTCTTGCAATGGATGTGGTGGCAAGACAGTATTGATAGCTGGGCTTATAGCTAGGCATGCATTCTCTTGTGCGGCCTTCCCAATTTCCAGTGCAGTCTTTGTTTTAACCGTTTGCATCCCAGAATGCTCTATCAAAATTAGTTTTTAGAGCATCTTTTACCAAACAAAACTGACAGAACATTTATATTTTATTGGTTTAACTTTAGAACACATGAAGCTACCTTGTACAGAATCAGAGGCAAAAAAAGCAAAAAAAAAAAAAAAGCGGGGGGGGCAAGGTGCACATATTTATTAGAGCTTAATAGTTCCCTTGTGTTTCACTGTTAAGCTTCTTCAGGGGATCTTCTACAGGGTTTTTCAAATTCGGCCTCGAGCAATGAGGCGGGTGAGATAGAGATGTCTCCTGAAGAAGCTTAACAGCGAAACGCATAGGGAATCTATTAAGCTCTCATAAATATTTTCACCTTATACCTGCTTTTTTCCTTTTCTTCTTGCTTGCTGGTGCGGCCATATGTTTTCCCAGCATTATACAGAATCAGACCACTTGTCTATCACAGACAGTCTTGTCTACTCAGACTGGCAGTGGGTTTCCAGGGTCTCAGGCTGAGGTCTTTCACATTACCTTCTGCCTGATACTTTAAACTGGAGATACCAGGGATGGAACCTGGGACCTCATACATGCCAAGAAGGTGTTCTGCAAATTGAGCCACAGCACCTCCCTTAGAACCATCAATAAGAGTTTAACAAAAGGATTTAAAATGCTTCAGATAAACAGTCAAATTGTGCAGTGCAAGAGATATCCTAGTAATATCATAAAATATCTTTTACTTCATTTATACCCTATTTTTCTCCCCACTGGAGACCCAAAGTGGCTGGAAACATACGTCCCTCCTTAATTTTATTCTCATAACAACCTTGTGATTGGCCCAAGGTCGTCCAGGTAGCTTCCATGACAGAGTGCAGCATTTGAACCTGGGTCTCACAGATGCTACTCAGACTCTATTATCACTGCACCAACGTTGGCTGCATGAATAGCTGTAAAAACAGTTAGCATAGAATCTGGTACAGAAATAGGCACTCGACAGCAACACTACTGCTTTCGATAAAATGCCTGGGAAAACAGATACGTTTTGACCTGGTGCTGTCAGACTTAGCAGTAGCTGAATAAAAGGTGGGAAGGACGTCCTGCTGCCATAATCAAGAAGGGCCACATCCCTGGCAGTTGTTTTTCTCCATTCAGAAAGAGAGGGGCAGCTGGAACAGGACTCTGAATCGTTCAGGTGGCATGGAGGTTCATGTGGGGAAACGTAGGATGCTTCCTCACTGGAAGATCTTGGGGGGGGGGTGTACCCTCCCCGATAAAACCCCCTGCCAGGAAAGGATTTCCCAGCTGATTGTTGTCTTCTGATCTCTCTGGCTGGAAGGATCCATAGAGGCCATCTAGTCCAACCCCCTACACAATGCAGGATCAACGTAAAGCATCCCACAAATGTTCATCCAGCTGCTGCTTGAAGACTGCCAGTGAAGGGGAGCTCACCACCTCCCTAGGCAACCAGTTCCACTGCTGAACTGCTCTTGCTGTAAAAAAAATCCCCCCCAATATCCAGCTGGTACCTTTCTGCCCATAATTTAAACCCATTATTGTGAATCCTGTCCTCTGCTGCCAACAGGAACAGCTCCCTGTCCTCTGCTACAGCCTTTCAGATACTTAAAGAGAGCAATCATATATCCCCCCCGCCTCCTGTTCTCCAGACTAAACATTCCCAGGTACCCTCAGCCTTTCCTCCTAGGGTTTGGTCTCCAGGCCCCTGATCATCCTCGTCACTCTATTCTGCACCCATTCCATTCTGCCTGCATCCTTTTTGAAGTGAAGTCTCTAGAACTGCACACAGTACTCCAGACATGGCCTGACCAATGCAGTGTACAGTACATCTGCGACATCTTGTGATTCGGATGTTATGGCTCTCTTGATACGCCCCACGACTGCATTAGCCTTTTTTGCAGCGGCATCACACTGACTGCTCATATTTCATTTACAATCCATCTGTACCCCAAGATCTTGTTCAGACACAGAGCTATCCAGAACTGTGTCCTCCATCCAT